TTATATTATTGGATTGGATGGCATCATTCGACAACCCAAAATATTCTCAAAAGTTCCCTACATGTCATCATAATAGAGATACAATCGAAGATCATTAAGAATAATGAAAACCATAAGCATTGACAAAGCATTTGCAACTATGACATCATGTTACTCATGCTAAGAATTAAACTTAACGCGATCGTGACAAGCGACCTTCACTACTTTCAAGTATAAGTTAGTAACGATTATGTGAAACCTTCTTAAACTTTAGCCACATATTCATGCATGCTAATTAAGTGTCGACCCTCAATCAACAAACACAAATAAGTTAATCATCAAATAGTTAAGCCAATTGCATTCACGAATCAAGAGTTCATAACCGGAATTCATCAATTCATATTACATAAATAATCATGGTATTGAAATCACCCCTAGCCAAAAAGGGTTTAGTTCCTCATAACTTTGAAATCAAAGAAACACCTAAACATTCCAACAACTCAAACTTGAATTGTATGAACGTTTAGGCACTCTTCTCTTCCATTCCTCATATTACAAAACAAAGAGAATTGAATTTAAACATTGAAATCAAAGAAACGCGTAAACATTCCAACAACTCAAACGTGAATTGTATGAACGTTTAGGCCCTCTTATCTTCCTCTTTATTGTGGCACAAGGACTAAGGGATGTTGTTGGTGTGTTGAATGGATTGGGGGATTATGGAAATGGAAGAAATGGAGGAGAAATGGAAGGGAAATGGAGAGAAACTCACGGCTAGGGAGAAGATGGAAGTGTTTGTGGTGTGTTGTGTATGAAATGAGATGATCCTTGAATGAATGAATGCAAGGGTATTTATAGGAGGAGTGGAGGTGTATATGGCTATTTGTTTAATGTGTTTGTGTATTATGATGAATGCATGTGAGTTAAAGAGGGAGAATGTGGTGAAATGATGAAGTAGGAAGGTGGAAATGCATGTGAGATGTTTGTGGAATAAAGAATGAATGGTGGAATGATGAAGAGTTGCATAAAGAATGCATGTAGGGTTAGCTAGGTTGGCTTTGTTTGGGTGCATGTGTGTTAATGGTGGTTTTGCATGTGAATTGATGGATTGTTTTTGATGGAATGGATGGTTCTTTGCATGGCTTTTGAAGTGATTGTGGGCTTTGGAATTAGAAGGAAATGCATGGCCTTGGGGTTGGTTTAAGAGAGAATGGGCTAGGCCCTTTGTTTTATGTCCAAAATGAATACAAGGCCTTCAAATTCGTCCAACACTTTGGCTCCAATCATATGCTATCCATTCCAAGCCCAATTTTGCTCCAAAATGCTCCAAAATGCATCTTTTTGCTTCCTTAGCCATATGAACCTAAAAACACACGAAAATGGCTTAAACTACTAAAACAACTATGAATTAACAACATAGATGCACGAAAACAAGCTAAGTAAGTCGCCTAAATATGCTCCTATCACTTCACCCACTGGTTTTTCCTCCCCTACCTCCAAACTACTTTTCTCATCACCTCAGTTTCACTACCATCCTCTTTTTTTTTTTGGTTTTGTCTTCTTCTTCCACAACTATTTGTACATTACCGCCAATTTGACCACCCAGCTGGTCTTATTTTTTCTCCTCTTTACCGTTTTCCTATTCTTTTGTCTCTTCGTATTTTGCCTTTTCATCTTTTTCTTCTTTTCCCTCTTCTTCATCATCTCCATCCTTTTCAACTTCTTCTTCCACATCTTTTTTTCTTTAATCTTCTTCCTCGGTATTCTCCTCCATAGGTTCTTCCATCACTACCCTCTGTAATTCCTTCACCATGTTCCACAGCTCTTCCACTTTCTTCACCAAATTCCTGTTTAATATCTCTTTCTTGTGGGCCAACTGCGCGAATGACGCCTTCAACTCCATTTTCAACTCACCGACAACATTTGTGTTGGGAGTTAGGGAATTTTTTTGTATACTCACACCTGTACATATTCATTAATAAATGAATACTCACTCACATTGATAAAGCCAATATTACCAATGAAAGCATCACATATTACTTGAAAAGCATACAAAAATCCTTTGTAGCCCTATTTGGACCGATGTGCCTTCTTTGTTCCTCTAACTTCTTCTTCTTCCTCCTCATCTCCATCGCCATCCCCCCTCAACTCTACCTCTACCTCTTCTTGAAGCAGCAAACAAGGGCCTGTCATGAAGTTGTTCAAAGGAGATGGAACCCCATTTAAAGATGTTGAACATATCCATATCCTCTGCGAGGTCGTGGTAATCTAGATTCACAGCTATGTTGTTCTTCACCCCTTTCAATACAACCTTGGCAAAGTATACCAGCCCTAGCTTAAAGGCATCGTCCTTGTTCTTGCACTCCTTAAGTTACAAATATTTTTCTGCTGACTTTCTTGGGGATGGCCTTCGCTTTACCTTTTCCTTTTCTTTCCTCCCCTTGCTACTTTCACCTACCAACCCTAATTTACCTGAGAAAATACTCCCTCAGCAGCCTAATCCTTTATGGCTTTACTTCTTTGTCATGGGGCTCGTCACATCATAGCCTGGTAATAAGGCAGAAGTCCTGCTTTGTGAACCAGGTCAATTCACAACCTATTAAATAGGACAGCCCCTCTACATCTTTAACTCCTTTATTTCCCAATATATGGAGTGACAACTCATGCACCAATTGCCCACTGAAGACCAATTCGTCCACACCCTGAAGGTGGCCAAAGCAGGTTGCCCCAAAGGCATCAAGCTCTGCCTCATTAAACTTCTTCATAATCAATCCTAACACATGAGGGGCTTAAGATAGGTTATTAACCCTTCCCTTATACGCTTCTTCTTCTTTGGTTGCTAGTTCAACACCCTGGCCTGCCATATCCTGTGCACATAACAATACACACACATCAACAATCAATGGTACATAACCTAACGATAACATGTCACCAAAGCTTCATACCTTTACATCTGTTGTTAACAGAGCATCATTACTTAAGCAATTTCAATTCCCACCATAAAAGTAACAATAATTCAAATACAAAAATCAATCTCTACCACCATAAAATTAACAAAATTCAGAATTCAAATCTGCAACTTTACCAAAACAACAGATGACGCCCGAGCATCTACACAACCCGCCGACATAGCTTCATAAGTTCACAACTCGCCCTAATTTGTTAAAAAAAAATGACATATATCGACAAATTCCACCTAATTACATCCAAGAACATGCATAATTAACCTTACACTAAACTTAATTTATAATACTTAACATAAATAACTAGATGGAATTCTAGGGTTCCATTTTCAAAACTCACCAAATTTAAAATTCACTGGGGGAATAAAACACTATGCATATCGCGGAAGCAGTCCGATCCTAGCTCGAATGAAGCGACAAGCACGTCCTTTCTTTGGAATGCACTGCACAGCCTCCACAGACCAACACCACCACAGCCTACTTGCTCATTTTCTTCATTGTTGTCTGGAAATTATGTGAGGCTAGACAACACCACCACATACCAACTAATACTTGGTTTGGAACATGAAACAAGTTTTCCAATGGCAAGGATGTTTTCGACAACAATGATGTTTGAGCAAATACGGGAGAAGGAGATGAGTGTTTTTGTAAGAAGGAAAGTGTTGATGTCGGGAATAGAGTTCAAATCCCAAGAAATTTTGAATACATCCCGGGTACGATATTAATTAACTGAAGGATCATTTATGACCCGGATCCACCCTAAGCTCGTTTATGATGGATTTGTTGTGAATCGTTCAGATTTGGTCTAGCGAACCATATTCGGTCCGCACATATGGTCCGTAAATAGATGTCCGCATCTTAGAAATCGCAATACAAAGGTTTGGGAACGCAACAACCAATGGAATATTGTTGGGAGGTTGAAAGCCCAAGTTCTAACCAAGACTGGAAAGATGCAAACTTGAGGGCGAGTTTTTTTTTTTTTTTTTTTTTTTTTTTTTTGAGAACGGGAGAATGATTTAGTATGTGGAAATAAATATGGGTTTTAAGTTTTGATAGTGCTATCCGCACACTCATTTTTAATTCTCACACATCCCTTTCAATATTCAGCGTGGATATAATGCATTGAAAAATGTCAATAGCAAATAATTAACAAGGGTGTATGAGAGGTAAAAATGGGTGTGTGAACAGTATTATCCTTAAATTTGAAATGGTTGGTGATGACTTATCCTTTATCAAAGTCATAATTTGTAGCAAAGTCAAGCAATTTCCATTGTTCCTGGTTGAGTGATTCCCAAGTTATTTGTCTCCCATCTTCTCGAGATCCTTTGTTACTTCGTATTCCGTGTATAATGTCTTTCCTCTCTATTTCTCTACTCATTTGTGATTTGTTGTTTCATAAGAAAATTGACGAAATAAGGCTATCTTTGAACTTAGACTTAGCCATTTCTCCTTGTAATATTTCTGACAACGGCTTTTTGGCCTTTTTCAAGAGGCAATGCTCTTAATTTGTGTGTTTCTTTTGTTCGCACGAAGTATATATAACAGCAACACAGTGCACAATGGAAAGCAACATAGGGATATACTTTGATTCCGTTGACAATAAATATATATAGATATATATACACACACACACACACACACACACACATATATAGAGAGTGAGAGAGAGAGAGAGAGAGAGAGAGAGAGAGAGAGAGAGAAACTACACACAATCACCCCGAGTGAAAAAAACAAGGGGCACAAAACAAAGACCATTATGCTACGATCATAAAAATCTTCTAAGAGCAACACTTGACAAATGGAAGCAAAGCAAAACCCTATTCAACCAATTCTAAAGCAGCAGCAGCAGCAACAGCAGCAACATTTCAGCATCAACTAATGCTTCTGCTGCAGGCAATTCATTTTTTAAGAGTTCAATCCCTTTGCTTTTTGAATCCCAAAAAATCATATTTTTTTTTCTTTTTTGAATAAGGCTTTGAGGTTATACAGAAGAGTACATAGTACATTCACAGATTCACTTGATTTTGGAATGGAATGTATTTAAAAAAAAAAAAAAAAAAATCCAAGTATAATGGCTATAAAATGGTGGTGGCCCCCAAAGGAAACAGTGAGGGAAAGCATGAAAAAGATTTGGAAGAGATAGAGAGCAAAAAGGGGGTCGCTTTAGCAGGCTCGCCCTTCACTATGTCCAAGCTCATCTCACTTGGATCTGTTGCTTGCAATTCAAATGAAATGCCGTCCAATTCTCTCTTGAATCTGTCCTTGGAACTAGCATACACCATCTTCATCCTCACCTTTGATGTATCCGGTGACCTACTCCATGCCACAAAAACACATGTACAAGTATAGTTGTTTAGGTGTTCAATAAAGTGCAAAACGAAATGGAAAAAATGACTAGGAGAGAAATTACAAATTTTCCCTTGAAAATATTCGCGTTAGAGTCATCAGAAGGTACATACTTAGGGCTCATTTAGTACCTAAGATTGGATTGGATAATTCAGTTGTTTATCAAGATATTTTTAAGCAATAAATGAAATTTTTTTTTCCAAGTTGAAGGTATTCTTTTCTTACTTCAAGATACATTGATCTTATGATTTACTCCATCCAATCCAATCTAATCCAATCCAATCCACTCCTAAGGACCAAACAAGTGCTCGTGAATTTGAAATCAAGAATGGTGGAATAAGGATTCATCCTTTAAAATACGAATTTTTTTCCCTACCATCAATTGTATACAATTATGTGTCTCTCTCTCTTCACAAGGTACTATCTATCTCATTGACCATAAAGATAAGATCAGTTTTCACAAGGTAAATAGATAGACACATAAATGTATATAACCTGTTGTAGTGGATGAATTACTCCTTACCTACAAACATATGACCCTCGTTATACAAACTTTTGTATACTGAACCTCACATAGCGACACTCAATGAGAGCCAAGAAAGATCGTTAAGCTAAGGATAGGCATAACATATGTGATCATGGCAGGTTCAATTTCCAATTGTATCGTAAGAGAAAATGAGAATGGATGCAGATTTTGTGTGAAGTTAATTACCATGCAATGAAGAAAATCTTGCTTTTCTGGCAGTTCTCTTCAGTAGTGAAATCGAAGTCATAGACAGCATAGCGACACTCATCAGCAGGAAAACTGGCGGTGAAATCCTCATAACTCTCATTAGGTTCCCCGAGCTTATCAATCACAATTTGTTGTTGCTCAATCTTGTACAGAATAAAGCGATAGCTCCTTTTTGCTTTGAGCTCCAAGAACCTCAACTTGCAGTCATCGTGCACAGCCATTCCAGAAGCTGCATTGGCCTGCGGGATCCCATGCCATAATATATAAAAGCTAAATTATTAGTTACAACCTCTAATTAATTGGCGCGTCATTATGTATCTCTTGCTCAAAAAAATATTACTATATATGAATCTGAGTAGGAATTTTTTTGCTTTCATTTTTGTTTACTTAAGTGATTTCCAAAAGCAACCAATGAAGTTTTGTAATTGCATCACATAAGAAGCGTTTCACGGGATGTTAGCATGGTGAAATGTTCTCTTATTTGTTTGAATGAGTGGTTGAGATTGTAAGCATGACATACTATCGTAAGCTAATATGAATAAAAATGAAGAAACAAACAAATTAAAGTCACAGAATTATCACACAGTTTAATACAAACATGACGCCTTTGGTTGAAATAATAAGAAATTAATCATCGTTGTTGAACCTATGATCAGTATAAATCATCATAAATTGTTGAGACAAAAAAAAAAAAAAAAAAAAAAAAAAAAAAAAAGAAAGAAAGAAAGAAAGAAAGAGAAGGATGCATACCATTTTGTCTCCAATGAGAAGGGGCTTCTGAAATGTGTAAAAAAAGAGAGAATGGAATTGGGGGCCTAAGAGAATGGAAATGGGCAAGAAGCACAATGAGAGCCTACGGGAGCGAAAAAAGAGAAAATAGATCCTTGTTTTTGAAAGGTAGAAAAGCTGGAAATTGGGAGGCTAAGGTAATGGAGGAGGAGAGAATTTGGAGGAGAAAATTTGCTTCTTCTGCCGATTGTGTCCACAATTCACTCTAGTCCTTCCACGTATTGTAACCTTAATTTTGTTATGGATTTTGGGATAAACTCTATTGAAATTTCCTGTTATAGGTATAAAATGACGTTTGATAATCAGGAAAATTATGAAGTGTTAAATAATTGTAGCTGTTGGATTTAATTTGACGATTTGTAGTCTTAATAATTTAGTTAACTAATCATAAGATCCATTTTATTTCCAAGACACCTTCTTATGACTATGGTTATTGGCATATAATCTTGAATAAAGACAGACATAGTACAAATGCTTGGATTAGATTGTCATTGCAGATATAGGAGGATATCTAAGTGATATTAAATTTTATTTATTGCTGTGTCATAATATTTCTCTTTTCAATGTTAAAACTTGTTTGAAATTTAAATCCTATGTCTCATTGATGAAAATATGTCGATGGCAGTCAAACAATTTGAAACTGCAAACTAACAGGGTACACATCGTAATTATAATTTATGCGCTTAATTTACATTGAATTTTCATTGCTGAAACTAAAAGTAATCTCGCACGAAATTACAGGTATTGCTGCTTTGAGTGATTTTCCCATTACTTATCTTCCCATTGTTGCACTTGTTTAATTGAATTAATATTCCTCGTAAAGATCCCTTTTTATTGGGGTTTTTCAAGTTATATATTTAATTTACCTCCTATAATATTTTGTGAACATAGAGATTTAGTTTCCTTTCTTCACTCCTATTAAATCATATGTTATAGGATCAAATACATCAAGTCACGAAGAATCAATTATGTTGCCCACTGATTATTCAAATGCAGTGCACAACTTTTTAATATCATAAAAATTGTTGGTATTATTGGAAAACTTTTCAAAAGTTTGTGCTACATTTTTAATATCATGGAAATTGTTGATATTATTGGAAAACTTTCCAACGGGTTTTTTATTTTATTTTTCATTGTTTTGCGAAAAATCGGAGCCCATGCTCAAGAGCTCCACAGGTATGTCACCACTCTTTTACATATTTCTACTTTGATTTCCAATACGAGGTTAAGCCTTTGATTTCCAACAACTTTTCGTTGGGTAATTTGATTTCCCTCAAAGACATAAATTAATGTGTTTTCTTTGACCATTCTATTATAATTTTCAACCCATTTCGTATAAAGCTGTAGTTTCTTGCCAATCTCTTACGTTCTCTCTTGATGAAGTTGAATTGGAAATCAGAATCTTATGGAACATTTTGGTAATAGGGAGGCTGGGTGTGCCCCGGATCAATGGGGACGTTCAAGCTTTGGAACCTTGAGTGCTTCCACAGACAGTGCCAGGAAACGTTTGACTGCATTCATGCAACCACTTCTAAATCCAGTCGTCATTAGTTTTTCATCATGGAGAATAGTTAGCTTGCTTTTATCTTTTTACGATAGTTCGTTTTGATCCTATTATATGTTGCTATGCATTATTCACTTGCATGCCTTTTAAGTTCAACTGTCCGCGGAGAACGTAGTTTAAATATCTTCTGCACTAAGTGTAGTTAGTGCTAATTTGTTGAACCAATGGTACGTAGGGGTCTGCAAGGGGTTAGGTTGGAAAGGGATGGCTCGGGAAATGGGGCACTTTAGGGGAGAGACTCTTTCGTATAGTCATTTTATCAAATGGTAATCGTTTGTTAAACGTTGAATACATGTGAAGCGTATATCCAACAATGATGGATACGGAAATTGAGTTTTAAGTTTTAGGGGTATGCAAGGGGTTAGATCGGAAAGGGATAGCTCGGGGTGAGGCTGTTGGGGGTGCTTTAGGGGAGAGATTCTTTCATATAATCATTTTATCATGTGGTAATCGATTGTTAGACGTTGAATACATGTGAAGTGTATATTCAACGATGATGGGATTGAAATTATGGGAAAGAATAGGCAATTGCATTTAGATGGGTGGAATACAAATACTAAGATGCAAGCACCTGAAGTTATATGGTGATTCATATGCAATTTAAGGTGATTTCATTCATGAGTAATCAAATTCTATTTTTAATTTTCTTTTTTAATTGTTTTAATTTTTAGTTCAACAGTGATGTACAAAACAAAGGAGTCGCCCTTAACGTAGTTATGCATTTGGGTGTCTTTAGTGGAACAAAACTTCATTTTTTGTACTTTGTATAGTTGTAAGCATAAAACTCTCTTTGAGATTGGGCCATAGCTTTTCAAAAGCAACCCCAAGGACAGCGTACCAACTCTACAATTTTTGTCATGTAATATATGACTGTAAATAGCACTCCCTAGCTATTGCACACCAACATTCCCAATTTTGCTAACTTCTATTCCTTACACATGATTGTAAAGAACACCTGAATACATAAACACTACAATTTGACACATTTTCTAGATTTTCTAGATTTCAACAATGTTCCAAACCCTGCAGCAACGCGAGGGTACACTTTACACATATATCTTAAGAAGTTAAGAGCATTCAACTTTGCATATTGATTCTCTGTCTTCTAATATTGTCATAATTTTAAAACAAATGCAATATGGCCGGTGTAGTATAAAACAAATATAAAGAGTTCAAACCAGTATACCAGTTCAAACTATAAGATGATAATCTTTAAAAGTACATACAGCAAGCAAGGAAACGAAAATAATTATATATGTACACCAAAAGCATGTGCTTGGACTCTTTATACATTTAATGATGAAGAAAATAATAGCCTAGCTAGCAAGTAAACGAAAATGATTATATATTTACACAAAAAGCATGAGTTAGATTCTTATAAATTTAATTGGGTTTAAATTAATGACCAAATTGATAATATAATAAATGAAGCTTATTGAGCATAGATATGTACATAAGCACACAGGAGGCAGAAATGGTTCATGCATATCTCTACATATTTAGATGACATGATCACTCCCAATAGTTTTGATTTTTATTTTTAAACAAGCGATATTATTTATACTATAAGAGAAAGGGTGGACTAGTCTCACAATGGGTGAGCAATAATGTGGTTCAAATCTGTCTTTGGTGAGATTCAAACCTAAATCATCTCACTTACAAATGAAGAAGAATATCACTAGATCGTAATACTAAATGATACTCTCTAATAGTTTAATTACGTACTACTTCCATTCAATTTGTCCTTTGTCGCCGAGAAATATATTGATAGGACTGTTTTATGTGGCAGCTATCACATGTTGGTGAAACAAGTGTGAGGTGATGTAAAACCCAAAATAATGGCGCTTATACATTTATGAGAATGACACTACAAATTATATGGTGGGGAGTCACCACCGTAGTTTTTCTCTTCATTTCTCAAATGGCTACAACTCAATAAAGAACTGCCAATTTTATTTTTTATATTTCAAAAAGAAGAAGGCTGCTGCATATGTATTATTCTATCAGTTCTTGCGCGAATTAAACGTGCTTGATTTTATGATATATTCTAATTAACATATGCTAGCTGACCCGTTGATCTTGGACCATTAATATATTGCTCCCTGTCCCCCCTACTGATCAACGACTAAGGAAATGGAAAGTGCTCCTCCATAATAGAGCAAGCACAAAATTAACGAATACTAAATTAATCCAGTGATTCTTGGATAAATAAATACATAATCCATAAACTTCATATACTTTTTTAATAAATTGGTTACTTAGCTTACAACTTTTGTAACCTATATAAATAAGCTCTTTTGGACACATTTCTAGTTACCACCGAGGTTCTAATAGTTTGATTTCCTTCATCTATTATGGCTAACGTGTGTCCTCCAGCTCCCCAAGTTCTCTCTCTATCTTCCTACACTAATAGTTCATCAAAGAGAGAAACTTATACCATTTGGATGAAATCACTTGTATGTCATACAAATGGTTGCACTGTTTACAATTCCAGTGGCAACATTGTTTATCGAGTCGACAACTACGACAAAAAGTGTAGCAACGAAGTCCATCTCATGGATCTCCAAGGCAAAGTTCTCTATACTATATGTAAAAAGGTAAATATAATATAAAAAAAAAATATGGTTACGTTGTCTAATTGTGAATTCGAGTATATTTATGGTTGTGCGCTTCTTTGATTTTGCAGAAATTAAAAGCTTTTGAGCAATGGGATGGCTACAGAACTAGTAGCCCTTCTAATAGAAACAAGGAGAAGCCTGGGTTTCAAGTGAAAAGTTATAGTAGAATGCTCATGGGAACCACAACTTGTCAAATTACAGTAGAGTGTGACAAGTATTGGATAGTGGCAGGGAAGAGTGGTACTGTGGGATATAGAATAGTAAACATTGATGGACATATTGTTGCAGAGGTGAGCCTTGGGTCTTTAATTATACTATCTAATTATATGTAACTTATAAGGATCGACCATATATACATATTTATCATTTATCTATTAATAATTTTAACATATTTCTTGGTGAGCTTGTGCAGGCAAAGCAGAAGTTATCATCATCTGGAGTAGTTCTGGGGGATGATGTCTTAACTTTAGAGGTGGTTCCTCATATGGACCATTCCCTTATAATGGCTATTGTGATTGTGTACGGATTGATTTGTCGCAAAATGTAAGTGTTATCACATAGTATGTAGCATGGCTATTTCCAAAGCATGTAAAAATGCGCCTTCTTATAAATTACTTTACAGCTAGAGATTATGGTCCTTTGTAACTATATCATATATCAATAGGCCCTTTTATTTCTAGTTAAATGATACTTGCATCCCACCCGTGATCCAACCTTCTCATTCACCCTTTTTATTTAACGAATTTTTCATAAACATGATATAATCATATTCGTTCATCTCCTAAATCATTATTCCAAGATAATGTCTATGAAAAATTAAGAAAAACAAGAAAAATCAAGAAAATCAAGAAAAACAAATAAATGGTTTTGATATAAACTAAATGCACTGTTCACCATGACAATGTTACTATCAAAACCATCTATTTGTTTGATACATAAGGATGACTAAACTATCACCACTTTATTTGGATTTTTTCATAGATGATCCTGAAATGATGATTTAAGAGCTGACTATAAGAAACATTTTTTAAATGAAAAGGGTGCAACGAGGAGGGTTCCACCAAGAGTAGGACGCAAATATTATTCTTTTTAGTTCTTCTTAATACTTGTATTCCACATATCTCATCCCTTACAAATGACATATTTTTAATGTATAAATTACATTATTAGAACTATTTAGTTTATTAATCACTTAAATCGGATATTGTTTATACGTTCAATTGTATGAATCAAATCGACGGTATAAGTACTAAATAACATATTCATGATGAACTATCTAATTACTTGATACATTTGGATGATTAAATAATCTCCGATTCGAGTGATTTTTTGTATGAATGATTTTCAAATGAACATTAAGAAATTAAACGATTCTGATTACGAAATTTATGCAGTAAAAATATGTCATCGCTGATTTGCAAGGGGTATGATATATGCATTTTCCATGGAGATGCAAATATTGTCCTTTCTCTATATCTAAAGATCGATGGAGAGAAAATGCTGCGAAAAATAAAACTTGTGAATCCAAACTATTCTGAATTTTTCACTTTGGTTTGCATGCACCGGAGATTTCATTTTTACTTTTTATTTTTGGGAACTGAGCTCATTCTCTCACTTACAAATAACCTTCAACTTAAAAATTTCATAATCGGAACCATTCAGTATCTTAATTTTCATTTGAAGTTCATGTTTACAAAAAAAATTCAAATCAATGATCGTTTAGTCATTCAAATGTATCAAATAAATAAACAGTGTATGTATCAAGTGTTGGAACCCCATTCTATCCCACATCGGATAGAGGAAAGGGGAAAGACCCATTTATATATAATTACCCCACTCTAACTAATATTGAGGCCTTTTGTGATAAAACCTCACACCTGAGGATTGGGTAGGTGGTAAAGTAGGGACAATATCAGTGTTGTTGGAGTGGGTCCTCGGCCCATCGACCTAAAAAATTCACATGGTATTAGAGCTAGGGCATGGGCCCGTACTACCATGTGATTGGGTGGGTTCCCATTGGCCCCGCAGTGATTGGTGAGTCTCGAAATGGCTCCATGTAGGCCAAAGATGCCATGTGATTGGGTGGATCTCCATCGGCCCTGTACGATTGGGTGAGTCCTGACATGGCTCCACGTGGTTGCCGATGTGTGAAATTTCACATGTGACCCATAAATGGGGTCTCATGTGCGGGTAAGTGTTGGCACACCATTATGTCCCACATCGGACAGAGGAAAGGGCAAAGACCCATTTATATATAATTACCCCACTATAACTAACATTGAGGCCTTTTGTGATAAAACCCCACACCTGAGGATTGGTCAGGTGGTAAAGTGGGGACAATATCGGTGTTGTTGGAGTAGGCCCTCGGCCCGTCGACCTAAACAATTCCACATCAAGTAACATATTTATGATGAATAGTTAATTTATTTGATACATTTGGATGACTAAACAATCACTAATTCGAATGTTTTTGTAAGGAGAATCTTAAAATGGAGAATAAGATATTTAACGATTCTGATTATAAAATTTTTATGGTTAAGATACGTTATGCAAGTTCCCTAAAAAATGAATGCAATTGTTATCATTTTGTTTAGGAAAACTAATGAAAATGACTTGAAAACTTTGAGTTTTAACGATAAGGACAAAATAAAGGGTAAAGTAAATAGTACCAAAATTGTTTTTTTTAGTATAAAAATGTGATTTTTTGTTAAAGTTCACAATATTAGGAGATTTTCGTTAAAGTTCCTTTTTTTTTTTTTTTTTTTTGTTAGAAACGTAGGAGAAATGAAAAAAAATAAAATAAAAGAGTAGATAAAGGCTTTGAAGACTTAAAAAAATCTGACGCTAGAAATTTGAGAAAAACAAATGTTCATGAATTATATTGTGCAGTTGATCTACTTCTAATTGCATGGAGGTTTTGTGATAAAACTCCACATTATGGCGTATTGTACATGTGGTAAGATGCAAGTTCGATACCAATTTATTTTTCCAGTACCCTTTAATGTAAATATATTATTATATATATATTAAAAAAAAAAACATGTCAATTGAGAATGGCCTACAATTATTATATGTCCAACTTCAAATATTCCAGTTTCCTCCAATAATCCCTTCCTTGTTTTGAGGTTACGAGTATCTTTCTTGATCTACTTTTGCAACAGATCGAATTCGCATTGACTCTTCGGATACTAAAATCTTTGATTATTTGTACATGTGCTTAACATACATGAGCCGAGTGATCAAATACACTAAATGAGCGTGGTCATGAGAGATCGGATTCACTTGATAATCATTAAGCATAATTGCATCGGGAAAGACTAATGAACTAAGACAAAAGTATTAGTCTACTTATATATATCAGGCCCTTTATGCAAAGGGATTCCTATTTTAAAAAAATAGGGATTAGGCGTGGGACCCACACCACATCGAATTTTAACGATTTGAACTGTATATTTTGTAAGTCTCGATTCATAGATCATCCTTGCAAAAATTCAATTCAATCCGAAACCATTTTCCTATTTAATTATCAAGATAAAATTTCATTGTTTCTTATATAACAAAGTATTCGTTAATTTCTTTGAACTTAATTAGATGTCTTAAACATTTCTGATTTGGCTAATATTTTGCAAGTATGATCTATGAGGTGCAACTTGAAAAATAAACAGTTTAGATCGTTAAAATTGATATGGTGTGGACCCTACAACTAATCTTTATTTTTATAAAAAATGAGAATTCCTTCCCTTAAGGTTTTCATGTATTTATATGTGTGTGTGTGTATGCTCTTTATTTACAATCTTGCATGGACCAACCTCTCTAGAATTTCAAGTCCAACAATACTGCATCTTAACTTGTACTTGTTTTGCTTTTCTAGAAGTACTAAAAAACACATGCAATATTAAGGCTTATATACATAAGAAACGTTTTTGATGCTGCTTTCGTCACTCGGCAGAACTTAATGGTTGAATAATTCAGTTATAAGATTGAAGGTGTTCAAGGAATATATTTTCATGACATGACTTTACGTATTAATATGAAGATGCCCTAACATCTTTTTAACTATCACATGACAATAACACCCTATGATAGTTGCTCTCATCATTATACGCGTTTCAATAATTAGTGCACTAAGTTATACGCTTAGCTTACCTAAATCTTGATCTATATACCTACTTTGTCATGCATACAAAGGCGCATCTATTGATGGACTAGAGTGATCTATAGACCCTTAGAAAGTCCTAGGAAACGCATGTGAGAACCTCTGAATTTGAAACCCTTCTTTTGTCCTTCTTACGTGCGTTTCTTGGGACTTTCAAAATGTCAAATTTTAAACAAATGTCATCTAATAACTTTATTTAGTGATAAAGACAAAAGAAAAGGAAAAAAAAAACCCAACCAAAAGCGCATGCAAGGCGCACACCAACCCATGTTCAGTTTCAGAAATAGTACATGTATTCAGTTCAGAAATAATCAATTTAAGAAATAGTCAGTGTTTAGTTTATGAAACAGTTTGTACCAGTGTTCAGTTTAAGAAAGAGTGATAGTATCCGTGTTCAGTTTTCAAATATAGTTAGTGTTTGGATTAAGAAATAGTGTAGTACCCGTGTTTAGCTTCAAAAATATTCAGTTTAAGAAATAGTTAGTACTTAGTTTAAGACTTAGTACTCAAATTTTTGTTACTTTTTTTTTTATTATATTAAATGTGGGACCATGATTTTCCAAGGTCAGAGTGAGGTTGATTCGAATACTGGTACCTCAGAAGTCCAGTGATGGACTCAACAGCTTTGTGCGAAGCTGGATTAGTGGAGCAGTGGTGCCACCATCACACTGTTCTGGTGCAATGGGCAAAGTTCGAGCGATTCTGTTGGTATAACCGCGCTTGTTTCAAAAGGCACGAGATCTGATTTTGATATGGACACAATTAGATTCCTCATAAGTCTTGAACTTCCTACAATCTAGGAATTGGCATGGGCCGCAAGTACTCACAACTCCTAAGAGGGTGCATTATCCACTTCTAGATATCATGTAGGAATCTCTAGGCTTTAAAGGAATAAATACACTCATCTAGGGTTTGTCTTTGGTAACACAATCTCAATAGTTTAATTCTCTTGCCCACTACTTATTAACTTGACCGTCAGATAGCTTTTGGCCGGCACACACATCCCCCATCGTAGGCTTACACATGGTTCTCTGTTTTGTAGGTTGTTTATTAAAATTTAAGTCATTTCGTTAAAGTTTAAACTCTTTTCATTAAATTAAGTTATTAGATGGTTTTTGGTTAATAAAAAGTTTGGAGAAACCATTTTCATTAAAGCTCCTTGTTTAAATGACTTGGCCTAAATGACATCATTTGAGTTAGATATTTTTTTTTCCCTGAATATATTGATATTTTTACACTAAGGAGAGGGGGAGTTTGGCTAAGTCACAGAAGTAAACCAGACCGACCCTTTCTGATCCAGTTTGATTTTCAACTGGTTTTGGGCCTGAGCCCATTTCATTCTTTTTTCTTTCTTTTGTATTGGGCTTTAAAGGAAATGAACTCACATTTAA